TCAGAAGAGGATCTATGACTTCTGGAAGCACCTCTTTTAGGAGCTTAGATGGAATAGGGTCTAACATACATAACATAACATAATAGGGTTGGTTTAGATGATTTAACAAGTTTATTCAGTTCTTCCTCTCCTATAGTAGAGAATGAGTGTAATTGTTCCTCAGGGGATCTATAGCAGATAGATCCCCTGATCTATGATATATCTATCATAGATATAGATCTATGATGTGATACTGTAGCTGACGGCTGCATGGTTACAATTTTATCTCTAATAGTATCGATCTTGGAAGTAAAGTAGTTCATAAAGTCATTACTGCTGTGCTGCTGGGAAATGTGAACGCCTGTTGGTGCTTTATTTTTCGTTAATTTGGCCACTGTATTGATTAAATACCTGGGGTTATGTTTGTTTTCTTCTAAAAGAGACGAAAAGTAATCAGATCTAGCAGTTTTTAATGCTTTTCTGTAGGATAGGGTACTTTCCCGCCAAGCAATACAAAATACCTCTAATTTTGTTTTGCTCCAGCTGCGCTCCATTTTCCGGGCTGCTCTCTTTAGGGTGCAAGTGTGCTCATTATACCACAGTGTCAGACTGTTTTCCTTAATCTTCCTTAAGCGTAAAGGAGCAATTGTATCTAAAGTGCTAGAAAAGAGAGAGTCCATAGTTTCTGCTACATCATAAAGTTGTTCTGAGATATTGGATATGCTGAGGAATTGAGATAAATCAGGAAGATTACTTACAAAGCAGCCTTTTGTGGTAGAAGTGATGGTTCTACCATACTTGTATCAAGGAGTAGAATTGACAGTTTTAGCTATATGAAGTTTGCACAAGACTAGATAATGATCTGAGATATCATCACTACATCATTTCAACACCATCAACATCAATTCCATGTGACAGTATTAAATCTAGAGTATGATTTCGACAGTGAGTAGGTGCTGACACGTGTTGTTTCTAACCCCAATAGAGTTCAAAATGTCTATGAATGCTGATCCCAATGCACTTCATTTCCAGCGATACCGTTGACTTGATTGCAAAGATACTATTTAAACTGAGCTGGATGTTGACATCACTGAATTCAATGATGTACTGTTTTTAACTGAAAAATTAGTGTTTACTATTGTCATTTTGCATTATTGACACACTATTTTCCTAATTAATGCTGTTCAGTTGCTTTGACACAATCTGTATTGTTAAAAGCGCTATATAAATAAAGGTGACTTGACTTGACTTGACTTTTTCATTATCAACATGGATATTAAAATCACCAACAATTAAAACTTTATCTGCAGCCAGCACTAACTCGGATATAAAATCAGCAAATTCTTTAATAAAGTCTGTATGGTGCCCTGGTGGCCTGTATACAGTAGCCAGCACAAACGTCACAGGGGATTCATCATTAAAGGGGTCATATGATGCGATTTCAGTTTTTCCTTTCTCTTTGGAGTGTTACAAGCTCTTGGTGCATAA